CACAATTATGCAGCTAACAAATTTCCAATCGCTTTGACCAGTGCCGCCTCGCCTGGTGATCAGCCCACGTGCTGGCAGTCCAGACCGTTTCAACCACATAAATTCTCGAACAGATTTGGTAAAGGAATTGTTAAGTGATTAGGAAAGGCACGGATGATTGAGTCTGGAGGAGAAACACAATAAATCAGGCAACGTTGTGCAGGCCGCCAGAAGCGTCATGTCCATCCATCGACAGGGCACTTTGGTCCGCCGGTAGCAGGTAATTCCTTAAGTTGACTAATTGGTGTCTGCCTCTTGTTGTGTAAAGACGTTGCTTCGTAGTTTCGCAAAATTTACAGCATCAGCAAGAAATAGCTTCCGCCGGCAAGACGGATAACAGGTTGTGGTCATTGAATTACTGGGCAGGGGTTTACTGGCGCCTAAGATCACTCTGCGACTGTTATCAAAACTTCTCTCCAATAAAATGGATAATCCGAATAACTTTTTTGCCTAGTTCTGTGTCAAGGATACTGTATCAAGGGATCTCAACAGTATTGTTGCAGTCTCTCACAGGGATTTTTTAGCCTTTCATTTGATTGATCTGTTGGCGCTACGATATTCATATTGAATTCCGATAAATATTCAGTGTTCATGTCAAATTCAATACAAAGTCATCTTAGATTCAAAGACCTAGTCTTCCATGATAGAGCCGTTAGATTCAAAGCCTTTCAAAACCAATATTTCTAAAGATCAGGAATTCGTTGCGCTGAAAAACTGATACCATCATTTGCGATAACATGAGTAGAGTAAAATCAAACTGTTATAAGTGCGAGTGATTTCTGTCTGTAAAAATCTTAGAAAACCATAATAGTCTTTGCTGAGGTTGAAGAAATGTTAGTTTTTGTTTGCTTCTATTGATACCTCAAATAAAAACGTTGCTAAACTTTTTTCATTGTTCATGTTCCTTGAGATTTCTGATTAACTCTAATAATTACTTGCAAAACTCACTGGCCCCTCTTTTCTCTTCTTCATCATTTCTGCTCCTCAAGCTTGTGGAAACTATAAGATCAGGGAGTGTTTTTCCCAGGCAAAACTAATTTACCAGTGAAGAAGTGTGCTAAGATTACCGGGATTTTAGTTTGCTTATTTGATCGTTGTGGTGCCTCAAATGACGCAGCAGAGTGCCACTCATTACTGTTGGTCCACCTAAAATTTCCTAATCTCTAAGAGTGCCTCATAAAGTGCATTAATTTTTCTCCCTTCTTTTCTTCATCTCCTCCCTTCGCACTCAAATTTTTGGTATGATATTCTTCGGCAGCTGGTGCATCGAGATATTTGCAAAGCCCAAGCCGGGATCCAGTGCTGCAGACTGTTGGATAGATA